TACTCTTATACCTCTCAAACCCAAAATAGTAATTACCTCCAAAATCTCAGGTTATTTCAGCAGAAACAGGCCAAATAGTGTCGGACTCCGAGCTTCGGTTTTAAGTTGTTTACTTTCTGTTGAAGGAATGTCTGAGCGCGTGCAAATAATAAGAATCGGAACTCTTTAGTTTTCTAATAGATTCAATATCCGGTTTGTATAGGCCTTTGATTTAGATTTATGGTTCAATATGTATTCAACTATTCTCGCTTTATATTCATGGAAAAAACAAAGATTCTAGCTTTAAATTTTATAATAATGATTTCGTAGCTGAATTAGTTGATGTCTTATCTAATAAATGAAATTTGACTTGCAATTCACTAAAGATAAACAAGAAAATAATACATAGAAAAATAAGACACATAAGAAAATCATATAATTCAAATATTACATACTTGTCATCAATTTTAATCTGGAATTTCTGTTTAAGTCAAATGACCATATAATAATAATTGAAAACAAAGAAAAAAAACTTTAAACATAGAAAACAACTTCATCATAGAAAAAAATACAAAAAGGAATAAAAATATGGGACTTTAATTTTGTCTTGTCTCTAAAATAGGTTTTCATTTGTCTCCATTTCACCACTTGTGCGGCGAAGAAGGAAGCATTCTCGTGCTCGATCCTTCTTGAAGTCTATCTATTTCTCCTTTTCCGACCGTTTCATTCACCGAACACCCAGCCATGCCGAAGAATAAGGGTGAGTTTGAATCTGATTGGTCCCCCCAAAAAAAACAGGATTCGGTTGATATGTAATGTTTAAAGGGAGAGAGAAAAAAAATGGATGAGGTTCGGGTCTTCAATACAAGGGAAACGTTTACACGATTTTCCCCTTTTACATGAAGTATTTTTTATGATGATTCGAGATTTTACTCGGAATTTTACAAGTTTTAATGTTTGTGGGAGGTTTTCTGTCTCTTTTATGATGAAACAGATTGGCGAATATTTAGCCGTGAAGGTGATGTTGCTTGCGAATTTTTCCCATATTTTCCCTTTTTCTTTTTCCATTTTTCCCCAAATATTTCCCTCTCACGCAGTGCTATTAGGTTGTTGATGTATATTTTGGTTATGAAATATCTTTTCGTTGTGATTTTTTTTCTTAATGCTTTTGTTCCAGTTTTTTCCAGATTTCCGTCAGGTTACTTTCTCATTTTTCAAATAATTTTCCGGCCTCCTCTCAGCCGTAGATAGGAGTTCATTTATTTTCTTAAAGAAAGATGTATGAAGTTATAAAAGACTTGCAAATCTTCATTTTAGTTAGTTATAGCGACGCACGGAAAAAAGGGAAATGGACAATGCTGTCTTACAGAGTGGAAGAAATATAATAGGATACAACATAGTTTGTTGACAGCTAAATAATGAAAATATACCTTGCCTATCATTGCTCAGATTCAAAGTCACTCATCTTGTTTACCTTGGCAGAAATAACACAACACTGACCGCATAACTCCTTACTGCGATATCCCAAGTAGTTCATGTGTTACTACGTGCTTGTCAGAACAAAATTTGGTAAATTTTTCGATTATGACAATCGGGACTTCCCAGACAATGTTTATATCATCAGATTTATTCTCATGTGATGAGAATGAATCTGATGATCATTTCCGTTGCAATCACAGCTGACGATCTTGATGTGTTAAGTTCCGTTAGCAGGGGAGGGCATGAAGTATATCAGGGAAATTATGGGGTAAAACAGGCTTAAATAAGAATAATAGCGAACAGAAACGTGTAAAACTATCACAAAAAAACGCTAAAAATCGGGCAATGAAACTCTACGGACATGGCCGCCACTTTTGGAAGTCTGTGCACCGACATTCCAGAGTTCGAAAAACTCTACGGAAACACAACCCATATTTCGGCAAAATCTACGGGATTCCACACCTTCAAGACCCCAAAAAACGTCCTAACCCATAACCCAACCTAACCTAACAATTTACGGTGCCGTGACTAGGTATGCCCTTTGGGTACTGCCCGAGGGGAGGGTTGATGGGGGGCAAGCCCCCCAACACCCCCCGGGACACATTCTCTTCACCTCGGTATGTACGGCAAGATAGAGCTCCATTCATACTGTAAACAATAAACCAAATACCTATTTATATCGTACTGCGATAGTTATTAAGGTCTTTTTCTTCTTCGTTTCCACTATATAGTCTTAAGAACAACCTAGAATCGACGTAAGACCAAAACCGAAACAGTTCTCGCTGGTCTCCTGTCACCGGACTGCCCTGGGAATCGTGCTGTCAAACCTGGCGGCAGAACGCGAAAATGCGCCTGTGCAGAAGGTGCTTCAGACCTATTTCCTTAAATCACTGTCGTATAAATTTTGAAACATGAAAAAGAGGTATAACAACGTGAACTTTCACGATGACAACATGGCGAGGGACTTAGAGAAAGATGGGTCGGTCTTCTTTCTTCTCTATCGTGTAACTCCTTTATTTTCGATTTGCACACCTTTTGCCATAGATGAGAAGTGTTTCAGTAACCCTGATTGTTATCCGCGGTAATTTTACCCAAAATTTGGCTAATTATCAGTGTCTGCTGTAACATTTATACTTTTAAAGTCATTTATTAATGTTGTTAAACTTCATTTATATGTTTTAAGATTTATCTATGCACTTATTTAGAATGAGGTAAAAGATTCTTATAGTGATGTGCGTAGATAGTGGAAGAAATCGAGTAGGATAGGACATAGTTTATGCTGCAGCGGCTTCATAGTCCCCACTAATTGACAAAAACACACTTCACCATCACTGCTCAGATTTTGTTCCATTTTGGTACAAGTTACTTATAGCGTCCTGTGTAGATGGGTGAAAAGGGACACCACCATCTTATAGAATGGAAAAAAAAACTGCAGCAGTTTTATAGTCACACTAAATGGCGAAAATATACCTTGTTATCACCGCTCAGGTTCTAAGTCCCACATCTTGTTTACCTTACCAGGAATAACACAACACTGACCGTTTAAGGGGACTATCTTGGGAAATGATCACCTTTCCCTACTCATTATATGCGTTTCGTCTTGTATATAATTTTGACCTTGCATCCCCATTTATATTTTTTGATTAAGGTCAAAATTTGAAAATTGGTTATTTACATGGCCTCAGGGCTCCGAGGCTCTAGTGAAAGCAACAAACTGTATTTGAATTGCATGAAAATTATGATCCCCATAACGTACCGAAGGTAAATTAAACAAAGAGAGATAATCACTGGGTGTTTATAATTTTCGAGGATGATCATCTGTATGTGAACACATGCACATAAAGTTTAAAAAATGAATCGTCCTCATTTATTAGGCCTACATAGACTTTCATACCTAAATAATAAAATATATTAGTTATCCCTCTCAAACTGTTTTCTTCGATAAATGTCAATATTAACAGATTGCAAAGGGGAACAAGTGTAGAGTTGGTGTTTAGCCATTTGTGCCTATTATCTTTACTAAGAAGTGCTTAAAATCATGCAGACACCTACATGTGGTGGGATATTTGTAAATTTATGGTACCTTAGACCTACGTAACATCTAAACATAATAGTTTTTATTGGGAACGCACGAAATAGATGCGATAGCTTTATCAAGATGACAACTGCGCACACAAATGAGCTCAAAATTTCATATAGATTTTATTTCAGAGCAGATATTACTGAGTACTATCATCTTCAATATGAAATAATCAATATCTTGCTTATGCATCTGAAGGTCAAAAATCCGACGTTTAGATAACCTTTGTATTATAGTGGCCTTTACAACGGTAGCAACTAATTTCAAATCAAATCAAATTTACCCATGCTTTGATGTACTGACTGATGGGTCAAGTCTAACAGTAATATTTCAATCCTTACTTGCACAGCTGTTTTCAAACATTAGTGCTTCGTACTCGGTATATGTACAGATCACATCGTAAGCTACATAATATTACCAGGGAGTCTTGATAGAAGCTTATTTCGGGTGTAAAAGGACACAAAACATACATATATATATATCTTTTTTATATTTCTCAGAATATTTTGTCATAAATCACTGATATAGTTTTTTTTTTCTGATAATGGTACAAAAGTGTTCCTCGAACATTCACAAAGTCTTATTTATGCACAACTCATTACTGAGATATCTGAAGTAGTTCATGTGTTACTACTCAAGATCTTGAATGGAGAAATGGTACTTGATCTCCTAAACAATTCTTTCACAGAAGAAACAATACCAAGAATTGACTTAATCACTAGATTTCCTGCAGAAAAAACATCAATTTTTTCGACTTTGTCTCTGGGAGGGTGTGTCGCTATCAGTAACAATTACCTATTCTGACAAGGAAGAGCTTAGTGTTACCTTATTTGGGTTTGAATGCAAGGGAGGTCAACAGTTTTATCTTGTAAGAACTTGCTTGGTAATTGGCTTGCTTTTACCCAAGCGCTAAAGGTGCAAAGGCCATTGTTGGCTGTGCAAATTTTTATCCTCCTTCCTTGTAAGTATGATTTTGCATCTTCATTCAGAATTGATTTCAGACAATGTGCAGTATATGAAATGCTAGAATAATACAAACCATGACAATTTTCTTCTATGGCAATATATTTGCAAATGCTTCCCAAAGGTGCTACATGCAAATGAACTGAGATGAGAGCCCAATTTCAGTCAATAATCATGTTTACATGTCACAAGTAAACATTCAGTTGACTGCAGAACTCGTTACTACGATGTGAAAACTAGTTAATGTGTTACTACGTGCTTGTCAAAATGATACTTTGTTAATCATCAGTGTCTGCTGTTCCACATTTATATTTTCAAGGACCTTTATTATTGTTGTTATACCTCATTTACATGTTTTAAGATTTATATAGTTTTGTACAACAATTGGTTTTGAAGAACCTTTTGCACACTCGCACGTGTGTGTTTTAGGACACTGGCATTTACTAGAGGATTCCCGGCCATTCAGTGATAAAGGTCAGCAAAAAATGTTTTGTTTTCGGTGTTGCGTCAATTCTGGGTTAATCTTAGACTATACAGTAGCGATGGACAAGAAATAGACCTTTATAATCATCGCAGTTTGATATCTGAGCCCATATGGTGTTAATTAATTGATTAGAAGTGAAGCTATCCACACAGTAGAGAGAAATGAAGGAGAGTTGGATAGTTTGGTGTTTCGATATATAAAGGCATTTTGTTTGTTGTGTACAGTATGGATGTAGCTCTATCTTGTCATACGTACCGAGTTGAAGAAAATGTGTCCTGGGTGGTGCTGGAGGGCAGAGCCCTCCATCAACCCTACCCTTGGGCAGTGCCCAAATTGCATGCCTAGTCACAGTAACTTAAATTGCTAAGTTAGGTTGGGTTATGGGTTAGGGTGTTTTGGGGGGGTTGGAAAGTGTGAAGTCCCATGGAGTTTTTTTGAATTTTAGAGGAGATATTCATAGAATTTCATTAGCCTATTTTTAGATTTTTTGTGCTAGTTTTACACATTTATGTTCGCTATTCTTCTTATTCAAGCCTGTTTTACCCCATAATTGCCCTGATATACTTCATGCCCTCCCCTGCTATCAAGACTAACAAATCAAGATTGTCGATGGAAATGGTACTTTGATCTCCTCAACGAATCATTTGCACAAGAAACGACACTAAGAATCGTTGAAATCAGTGGATTTCCTTCAGATAGATGTCAAAATTGTTTGGAAAGACCCCACTACCCTGTTATCCATATTGACCTTGATTTCCTGCATAGTTGTAATGGCTTTGTTCTATGTAGTTTCACAGATTACATGAGGAATCTTTGAAGTCTTAGCTTTAATGTGAAAGAAAAAGACTATGAACCATTTTCCACTTCCGACAGTGGTTCCCAACTACATGGTTGCAGCTCAAAAGAGGGTTACCAAGGTCTTTCTGAGGGTTGCCAGAGGGTCTTAAAAGAAGAATAAAAGAATCCATAGCTGGATATGTCAGTAAAAGTTGATGTTTTTTATTTACATTTGTTTATTGAAATTCAGTTCATTGGTAATATAAACCTATAAAAGTATAGAATAACATTAGCTAATTTACATCTGGAATTATAGCAGCCACAAAAATGGTTGGATATATTAATAGATGTTCACACATTTAGGGTCGCTAGCCCAGGCTAAGACTGTCTTTAGGGTTGCACCCAAAAAGGTTTGGTAAACACTGGTTTACAATATGGTGCAGATTCTATATTGACTGACATGCTTGCATGGATATCTGCTTTCAATGTGTATTTTTTATCTTCACCTCATATGCATGGCAAGATAGAGCTGAAACTTTGGAGGACCAAGTGGATTTTGGCTGTGAGCTGTACTTTTTGCAGTCTTTTTCCATTATTGTCTTCAGATTATTTCTTTCACCAATGACTACAATTTTTTTTCCTCTACAAGAATAGCATCTTCAATTTCCCCTACCTTGGTGCATCCAGACCATAAGGAATAATCACCCCCTGTATCCCCCTTTATTAGATCTTGGGTGGCATTTATTATTCCTATGATGTACAGAGCCCATATACCAGATGGCAAGCATGTTGGATTATGTCCACTAGATAATTGTTTCCTTAGCAAAGATCTCACAAAATTTATTCAGCAATCTAAATTGCTGTGACTGGGTGACTATCTGACTGGTGGATGATGTGGGGCTCTACATTGTCTTCTTTGTCATTGTTGGTATGAATGGTGAGATGGAGCTGAAACTCAACAGCACTGAGTGGACTTTCACTATGAATGGCGCTATCTATGTTCTTTTTCCTTTACTTGTGGTGCTGCCATTTGTGTGTGCAGATTTTTACCTTTACCAATGACTACAGCATTTTCTTCAATTTGGCCTAGCTTGGGCGTCCATATAGTAAAGATTATTCCCAAGATCTTTTTTTGTGTGTGGCAGTATCATTAATGTCTATAGATTATTTAATTTACTTTTTTCATTTAAAGGAACATTTAGATCAATTTGCCTTGGCATAGTGCATCTTCCATACTGTAAATGTTGACCCTTCTGATATTTCATTTGACTGGTTAACCATAAGTGGTCACATATTTATGGTTCTGTATGGCATGAATAAAAGTAGCCATTATAGGGTTAACCCACTAATGATGGTATAATTTCAAGCCGAAAATGATATTTTCCGGGCGGCTTCAAAATCGGCATGCGGACGAGTCTGGGAAACTACCCGCATGCTGTGCACCACTGGTGACCAAATCAGAGCACAAGCTCTGATCTAGTGTTGCACCGGCGGGATGCCTGGTAATATTTACTTCTCGGGGTGTCCCATATGTGTGACACCTGTTGTAATTGGGCTAAATTGCTGGGGATTGACTATCTTCATCTTACCTGTTTATACATGATGGAGGTTGGTTTGCTATCAGCAGGATGTGAAGTATAGAGGCTTTGGCAATGCTGGACAGTGCCATGTGAGCTTAGATTCAAGGACAAGACTGATTCTTTCCTACTACGACTATCATTGTGTGTATTCTTTATGGCCATTTATCTTTTGTTTTTTACACCTTTTTTTGGTCCTTTTCTGTACATCAGCTAATTTGTGTAATCCTGAATGGATTTGGTCAAATCATAGCCTTACCAACTTACCAATTGTTCCATGAAAGTGGAAAGACGCCTTTTTCTGTGACAGTTCTGGACATTTTGTTTTGAAAGCCATATCTACATAGTTTTATTTTATGATCAATAAATTCTCTTACAAGGTCCTGTAATTATGATAGACAAAAAATATTTTACTTTATGAAAAAATTAAATGGTAAGAAAAAATTATACGATTTTGAAAGATATGTTGTGTTAGTAAAATTTTTAAAGTAAAGATAAAAAGTAAAATTTTTAAAGTAAAGATAAAAGTTATTATAAAACAATTCTACCAAAAAGTTTTTTCAAGAAAATCTATGTAAAAGGTCCTTTTCATAGACAAGTATCTAAAGTTCCAATCTGTTTTCTCAAAGGGGGAGGGGATCCAGGAGAACAAGAACAAATTGCTTTAAATGAAAGAAAAAAAAAAAGAAGTTGAAGGCTGTAATTTGTTTTATGTGATTTATAATGTTGTTAATATTTTGTTTTGATATCCTCATTTTTTCATGAATTGCAACATCATAATGTTTGCTTACTGTGTGATTTCAATATTGGAAAATACATTGCAAAGGACAATAGTTCTTACTTGTACTTGTTTAGTGATTTTTCAGATATTTTCAGCACTTCTATGTATATTTTTTATCAGGAAGTATATTACATAATTTCCTTCTTTGTGTCCTGAATAATATCAGCTTACTTTCTTAGATATTACTTTTCTTTTATCTGTTGAAGGTCATGAACTGAAATGATAGCATAAGAATAGTCTGGGTTTATAGGTTTGACTTGGTAGCTGATTGTATTTTTCTTTCCTGACTGCTTAGATGTTTCATTAGAAACTGTTAAGATATTAATCTATTGATGCTAAGGAGGCATATGCATACATGCCCTCTCCACTGTGATTTTGATTTATTTTGTCTGGCTCATTGAAATGCTTAGTCACTATTTAGTCAACATCTAGGCTGATTATGCTCCTTTTTTTCAGTATAAAATGTTGATATTGCTATTTTGAATAAATGTAATGATGATATATTTGTAATAATGATAACAGTAATATTGATATCAGTATTAGGGGGAAAATCCTAAAAATTCAAGGAGTGAGGTGATCAGGTATAGTCAGGTTGTCTTGTGTGTGTATAAATTCCACAAAACAAAGCTTCTTCAGATAGCTTTTGCACCTGGTTTCAATGGATGAAAAAGACTTTAGGAGTTCAAGATCTGTGCAAATATAGATATAGGCCAGGCAGGGGCAGTATACATGTAAGGTTTATGAATGTTCTTTGCAATCTCATCTATGATTTATATTGTTGCAAATTCAAGTTGATCCTGCTAATTAGAAGAAACTTCTGTATCATTGGAAACCCTATCTTGATTATCTGTTGCAATAACATAAGGTAAATATTGCAGTAAATCTTACTTAAGTAATGAGTTATATTACACATTTAGCATATATAAATATGATGTCATCCCTACTTTTGTTGTCAAGGCAGATGGTGCTGTTTTAATTATTATTTTTTATTATTAATATTATTATTATTTTTATTATTATTTTGTAGAATATAGGAATGAAAATGTAGGAGACAGCTCAATTAATGTTTGACAATAAATCAAAAGGAATCTCTCAAGCTTTTCTTATTTCCAAAGCAGTATAACCTTCAACTGGGGAAAAATTGCATAAGGACATAATTTTTCCTTGTTGACATAAATACAGTGTCAGTGAAATGTAGGAAATAGCTACATAATGACAGTAAAGGGGGCTTCCAAGTTTTTCCTATTATACTGAATGCATAGTCTTCAAACTATGGCCATGTCATAGACAAAAAATGGCTGTCCAAGACCATTTCATTGGGAGTCAGACAGATGAAGATAATTACACATCAGTAATGACAAGTACACTTTGGAGACCCATTTTGATTTATTGTCAAATGTTAATTGACCCATTTTGTACATATTTACAGCAGTTTTTTATTAGGAAAAAAAGTCACTGCTCACCTTCACAGCTGATGCAATTGCAACAAACTTGTGGCACCAAAATTACATTGAATATTTAAAATGTGCAATATCATCGTAATATAAGTAAGATTTATTGCAGTTTGTAGTTAAACATATTACTGTAATCAGTGATCTTCAGAAAGTCTATAACTATGTTAGTGTTTGTTTAAGTAAACCATATTTGCTCTGAGATGTTCAGCAGTGCAAATCTTTGTTAAAATTGCAAAAAACAGTCATAACTGTTTATTTAATTTTTCAATTAGGTTTGCATTGTTTGCAAGGTATCATTTGTAGTATTTTTGAGTTTACTAGTTTCTTCAAATAATTGAAAACCTACTTATGAATGCATATACGGTTATGTGGTTCAATTTTCTATTACAAACTAGGACAGTGGAAATATACAAGGAGGAAACCATCTTTTTTTTTGTATCTTTTGTTTTGTAGGTTTGGTAGCCTCTTTTGCAGGAAATTCATTTAAAGTTGTCACTGGTTATTTTTGTATATGAAGTGGACCCTTGCCAAGAAAACCATAGAAATTGAAATGTTGTGACTTGTCTTTGTGAAATATATACATATAGAGTATTCATATTCAAAATGCTTCGTTTTTCAGGAAAGGGAGGAAAGAACAGGCGACGTGGTAAGAACGAGAATGAAGCAGAGAAGAGAGAGTTGATCTTCAAGGAGGAGGGCCAAGAATATGCCCAGGTAATATTTTTTTTTATTGAAAATCAAGAATTCTAAATTGCATTCCAGATTTCATAATGAAGTACTTAGATTTCACTGTTGCTGAGTATTTTTTATTTTTCCTTATTTGTAGGTCTCATGGAACTACTACATCATTTCAGTCATTTTTGTTATTGTTGTTTTAGTATGATTTTTTTTTTTTTACATGTTTACTTTTTGATGTAATTGATGAAAGTTTCACGTTTAAGACTGTTTATATAATCTCAGCAAGTCACTCTTGTCTTAAGCATTTTTTCCTTGCAAAAGAATGAATGTTTAGACAAACATTTGTATGTAAATGTTTTTCCATTGATTTTTCTTTTGTGGTTAGTTTGTTGCTCAATTGTACATATGACATGTGATTTATATATATGTATGTATGTATGTATGTATCTATCTATCTACATATCATATATACATATACATATACATATACATATACATATACATATACATATAGATAGATAGATAGATAGATAGATAGATAGAAGATAGATAGATAATAGATAGATAGATAGATAGATAGATAAGATAGATAGATAGATAGAGATAGATAGATAGATAGATAGATACATGTCTATGTGTCTATATCTATATCTATCATCTAATATATATATATATATATATATAATATATATTAATATATATTAATATATATATATATATATATAATTTTTTTTTTTTCTTTTTTTTTTTTCTTTTTTCTCATTTCTTTTTTTTTGTCAATTTAATGTTCATATATTTTAGTTTTCACCTTTTTTTATCCTCAGATCTTTACCTGAAGGTAAATGTTGAGATTATATAAAAATTCTTTCATTGTTACTATGTTGCCATTTTTACTTAATGATTCCCATAGTTACTGCCATCTTTATCAATCCTGCTGGTTGGAAAACTTTATTGATCATCTTTTTTCTTCTAAATGTCAGGTGACAAAAATGCTTGGAAATGGCAGATTGGAAGCTCTCTGTTTTACCGATGGAATGAAGAGGCTCTGTCACATCCGTGGGAAACTCCGAAAGAAAGTGAGTAAATAAAAAGTCATGGACTTGTTTAGAAAGGACAGAGAGAGGGATTTTGATAAAGGAAAAAATCTTTCAGAAGCAATAGGAGTATCTAATTCCTAGACTTGATTGTATTAATTTTATGACCTCTTTAATTCTAGACTTTCACTTCATGTGTTGTAAGAACTGAAGTACAAACTCAGTGGTCATATAATATTACTATGTTACTCTTGTACTACATCCCATTTTCAAGGATTATGGTGCAAGTCTTACTTTGAGGTTTGACAAAGTGTTTTCTTTTTCTACCTGTCTTTCATTACTGTACATAGTCATATTAATTGCTAAAAATTAATTGGCAAAATTTAGAATACAGCTATTTGCTATTGTTTTAGTAATGTCTTTTCAGTAATGATACAAAGTAGAAAAAAAATCTTTATACTATGTTGCTGTTAACCTTTTGGATCTGGTTGTGTCACAGAAATCATGGTTATTTAGGTAGCCAACATGGCGGATTTGCGATGCGTAGGCTGGGCAAGCATGTAGACCCATGACAAGACCCTGTGCCTCCCCTTTGCAAAGTTATTTTGTTGAAGCTTTTTTTTTTTTTTTTTTAAGCTTTTTTGCCATTTTCAACTGTCCATATCATCTCGCTATGTATATGTATGGAACATGGATATTTGTCATATATTTTTTTAATTTTCAATTTTCCGTGATACAACATGCATCACCGGTCACGGGGGCCAGGAATATGGTGCGCAGCATGGAAATGGTGTCCTTCCTGGAGCTGGTGCTCTCCCACATTCGTTTAGTTATGGGAATTATGCCAAAGACCCACTTCTAAGGGCTTAATGAGTCAAATCACACTCCAAGAGGTTTGTGGACTTGTGACGAGTCTTTTCCATCACCCTGGCCTTTGCTCATGATGGCAAGTTTGCGTCATCTGGCCCACAGCCATTTTACCCAATGAAGGCATGTTCACGTCACCTAGCCTGCAGCTATTTTGCCTAATGAAGGCATGTTCACGTCACCCGACCCTCGACTCAGATTTTTCTATGATGGCTGTAACGTCCTCCAGATCGTAGGGATCAATAAGTATACCTTTCTCTGTCTTTTTTCTCTTTCTCTGTCTTTTTTCTCTTTCTCTGTCTTTTTTCTCTTTCTCTCTGTCTTTTTTCTCTTTCTCTCTGTCTTTT